CTTCTCAGATAAGACCAAATTCAAGGAGTTCATCATCACCAAGCCCTTATTATATGAAATGTTCATCATCATCAAGCCCTTATTATATGAAATGTTAAAGGGACTTACCTAAGAAAAAGAAGATAAAAAGATGAACAGTGAAAGGACAGCAAACTCACAGTTAGTAACAACCACACCTAAAACAAAAGCAAACTAAAAAGATAGCTAGATCAGGAGCAGAACCATAGAAATGAAGATCACATGGAGGGTTAGCAACAGGGGAGTGGGAGGAGGAGAAAGGGGGAGAAGGTACAGAAAATAAGTAGCATAGACAGTACATAGAAAATAGATAGGGGGGAGGGTAAGAATAGTAGGGGAAATACAGAATCTAAAGAATTTGAGACACGTGTTCATGAACTAAAGGGGGAAATGGTGGGGGAGGGGTATGCAGGGTGGAGGGGAATGGAGGGGGGGAATAGAACAAATGTAATGGCATAATCAATAAAAATTTTTAAAAAAATGAAAAAGAAAAAAACAGGAAAGAGTAAAAGCTATAAACAAAATCAAAATTTTATTCTTCTAAAAGATGAATTAGAGAAACAAACAAAAAAATACATTAAATGTGGGAGTGGCTTTAGAACTGGGAAGAGGAAGATTGTTAATAAAAGCCTAAAGCGTTTTAAGGAGTCCATTTATAGAAGTCTGATGATCTTTAAGGAGGTTGCAGTGAGGAAAATGTTACTGGAAAATGGTGCAAAGGTGATCCTTGTTATATACTGGCGGAAGTTTAGCAACACTGTCTCCTACAGTAATGTAGAAAGTAGGAAACGTACCCAATGAACTGGGTTACCTAGCTAAAGAGATTTCCAGACAGAATATTGAAGTTGCCACCAGGTTTCTCGTTGCTTACAGTAAAATAAAAGAGATGGTAAGCCAATGAAAAAACAGTTGAACAAAAAGGAGTCAGGAATTGGGCTTGGAAATTCCCAGCCTTTCCAAATAATGAATGATGTTAAAATGAACAAATGGCTTCTAGGCATAGATCAAATGCAGGGTATTTTCAGTAAAACATGATCTAAAGATGAACCTGAGGATGTCTTTGTAAAATATTTTGTTAAGACCTCAAAAATATCCAAGAAGATACCTCAGAGAAGTATTTGATCAAGTAATAGTACAACTAAAAAGCTTAAAGGTGTTGTCCCTCAGCATTCTTGGCATGAGCCCAAAGTGAAGAAGAGTTTATCTCACAAAGATTTATGTGTGTCGTTTAAGAGAATTCTATTGGCAGAAACACTAGAAGGGACAGAGACAGTGCCAGAGGAGAATAGGACTTTAGATCCCCAAAGTTTTCCAGGCAGGAAACAGGGTAAGGAAGTTGTGGAGCTGCAAGCATAGACAGTTTCATGGAAGAGGATGACTCAGCAGAGCCAAGTGCCATGGAGAATCATCTTGGGACAAGACTAGGCATCAGAGAGCTCCCAACATTTGTCCAACTGGATTACAGAATTTCCGTGAAGCAGTGACCCCCCACCCTACCCTTTTGAACAAGAGTCTTTCAATGCCTGTGAGCATCCTAATGCCTGGTCCACCATTGTGTATTGGATGTGTAGAAGAGAAAACTTGTCTCTTTAGTTCAGAGGTCTTCAGATCAAGAGCAAATGTACTTAAGAAACAATAGTTAAGGAACTACATCCAAGAAGCCTCATCCTCACCTGGACCTGTTTTAGATGATGGGATTCTGTACTTCAAGCTGATACCATAATAAGACGAGACTCTGGGGGATCTTGGGAGGGAGTGAGTGTGTTTTGCGTATGGGAGGGATTTGAATCAGTGGGAGCCAGCCTCCAAGGCTGATCCCAAATTATTCTTGTTTTCTAGTATTCATTCTCTTGTATAGTTTTCTCCCACACTGAATAGGGCTGACAAAACTGAGTCATAAAAGACAGTGAGGCCTCCACCTTGCTCCCTCTGGAGTTACTTGCTTTGGCGAAGCCAGTGGCCATGTTATGAGGACACTCAAGCAAACCTATGGAGAGGCCCAGGTGACAGGCATCCGATGTTTCCAGCCAATAGCCAGCTTGAACTTGCCAGCCATGTGAACAAGCTTTCTCAGAAATATATCCTCCAGACTCAGTTGTACCTTCAGATTACTTCAGCCCCAGCTGACTTGACTATAACCTCATGAGAGACCCCATGACAGAACCACCCTGCTAAGCCCCTTCTGAATTCCTGACCCATAAGAAACTGAAAAATGTTGATTGTTGATTTAAACTGCTAAGTTTTGGAATAATTTGTTACACAGCAATAATCAAAACACATTCCATACTTCCCCCACTGATTTTTGGTGTCCTCGTTATAAATATTAGTTCTCATATATACATCAGTCTGTTCCCAAACTCAGTTGTGTTCCATTGTTTGTGTTTGTTTCTGCACTAAAACCACACTTTTCATTATTATGGCTTTGTAGGGTGTTTTAATATCTGGTAGGGTTGGTCTTTCCTCCTGACTCCTTTTAAAACTTGACCTAAATATTAGTAGCTTTTTATTCCATATTAATTTTAGAGACTTCCACCAAGATGGAGGCGTAGGTGGAAGCACTGTACCTTCTCACACAACCAAGTTTAAAAACAACAAAGTTTTAGCAACAAAAATGCAGCCAAACCACAGAAAATTGAACTACACGGAAGTCTGACAACAATGAACCCTTCAGCCAAACCAGTAAGAGGGGCAGAGCCAGCAGCAGAGCGGGGTTGGGCAGGAAGGATCCACCAGACCAACCTGGGTGCATGACCCAGGTGTGCCAGCAGCTGTGGGCAGACCCCAGGTGTGGAGTAGCGGGTGGACCCACTGAGGGTGCAAGGCAGTGGACCCACTGAGGGCTGACCACAGTCACACAATTGTGTGCAGATAAACTGGCGAAAGAGCGAGAAGTGAGACTGACCACACAGGCCCCAGTGGTGAGAAGCGGCAGAGGGGACCGCCATTGTCTCTCTCTGACCCCGCCCCCACATACAGCGTCACAAACCAGCTACCTGGGTGGCCCTGCCCTGGTGAATACCTAAGGCTCTGCTCCTTCTACGCAACAGGCACGAACAGATCAAAACATGGCTCAAGAACAGCTCAGAGCCCCAGAGCCGATAAATCTAAGCAATGAAGAAATAGCCAAACTTTCAGATGCACACTTCAAAACACTGGTGATCAGGATGCTCACAGAACTGGTTGATTTTAGTCACAAATTAGAGGAACATATGAAGGCTAAACTACTTGAAATGAATGGAAATGCACAGGAAACCAATAATAACGGAAAGGAAACTGGGACTCAAATCAAAGGAGTGGACCAGAAGGAGAAAAAAAATGACCAAACAAAAAGATGAAGAAACAAGAATTCAAAAAAATGAGGAGAGGCTTAGGAACCTCCAGGGCATCTTCAAACGTTCCAACATCCTAATTATAGGGGTACCAGAAGGGAAAGAGGAACAGCCAAGAGTGGAAAACTTATTTGAACAAATAATAAAAGAGAACTCCCCCAATCTGACAAAGGAAATAGACTTCCAGGAAATCCAGGAAGCTCAGAGAGTCCCAAAAAAGTTGGACCCAAGAAGGAACACACCAAGGCACATCATCATTACATTAGCCAAGATGAAAATGAAGGAGAGAATCCTAGAAGCAGCAAAAGATAAAGGGACAGTCACCTACAAAGGAGTTCCCATCAGACTGTCAGCTGATTTCTCTAAAGAGACCTTGCAGGCAAGAAGGGGCTGGGAAGAAGTATTCCAAGTCATGAAATCCAAAGACCTACAACCAAGATTGCTCTATCCAGCAAAGCTTTCATTTAGAATGGAAGGGTAGATAAAGTGCTTCTCAGATAAGATCAGATTCAAGAAGTTCATCATCACCAAGCCCTTATTATATGAAATGATAAAGGGACTTATCTAAGAAAAAGAAGATAAAAAAGATGAACAGAGAAAGGACAGCAAACTCACAGTTATTAACAACCACACCTAAAACGAAAGCAAACTAAAAGGACAGCTAGATCAGGAGTGGAAACATAGAAATGAAGATCCCAAGGAGGGTTAGCAACAGGGGAGTGGGAGGAGGAGAAAGGGGGAGAAGGTACAGAAAATAAGTAGCATAGACAGTAGATAGAAAATAGATGAGGGGGCAAGAATAGTAGGGGAAATATAGAATCTAAAGAACTTGAGACGTGGTCATAAACTAAAGGGGGGGATGGTGGGGGAGGGGTGTGCAGGGTAGAGGGGAATGAAGGGGGGAAAAGAACAACTGTAATGGCATAATCAATAAAATATTTTTTTTTAAATTTAGAAAAAAGATGTATGGTGTGTCAAAAAACTGTTTGGAATTTATGTTAGAATTGCACGTTTTGTTTTTAGATTGGGAGAGGTGAGGAGTTTTGACATGAAGATTCTAGAAGACAGAGAAAAAGAAACAAGCCTGTGTGTCTGGTTCTTATTCTGTCTCTAGCCTCCCAGCAAGCCAGATTTATTCATTCAGCAGATTCTTCCTGAGCATCTGTTGTATGCTAGGCACTTACCACTTAGATGGGGAAAAACAGACCATAAGCTATATAGACCAAAATCAGAACATGTGAGGAACCGAGTGCCATGAAGAAAGTGAACTGATATTCTGAAAAGGAAGTAGAGGAGGCTGCTTTAGTCAGGGAGCTTAGGGAGGAGGAGCAGCACTCTCTGAGGGGCACTATCTGGGTTGAGATCTGAATGGTACAGAGGAGCCAGCCCCACAAACAACTGAGTGCAGACTGTCTCTCGTAGTGGGAAGAGCAAAGGGCTAGATGGGCACAAGCTGGATGTGCCACAAAACAGCCATCGGTGGGGAAGAAGGGTAGGGACAAGATCAGAGATGTTGGATGCTGCAGAGCCTTGTGGACAACTAAGGAGTCTGGATTTTTTCCCAAAAGGCAGCAAGCAGCTTTTGAAGGCTTTTAAGTGGGTGAGTGAGTGACATTTGCTTGTGCTGTTAACTACCTTCCGCTTCTTCTTCAGCAAAAACGGGAGAACCTGTCCCCGCTGTGCCTCATCCCCATGGTGACATCTCCCCAGGAGGAGCAGCAGCTCCTGGCCAGCACCTCCAAGGTGAGGCCCCTGAGCCCTGTAGGGTGGAGGTTGGGGGCCTCTCCCTGCAACCTGATCCCCACCCTTCTCCATCCTCTCTCCCTCAACAGCCGGTGGTGAAGCTCCTGCACAACCGCAGTAACAACAAGTACTCCTACACCAGGTGACCACCATGGGGGTAGGGAGGTACACGGGGCTGAATCCTGGGCTTAAGACAGCCCTGCTCCTGGCCCAAGGGGAGGGCTGTGGCCACAGAGAAGGACAAGAAAGGTGCCTGCCTGAAGGAGAATTCCAGCTCTTCCACTTACCCACTGGGTTCCTTGGGCAGGTCATTTTCACTTCTGAGCATCACTTTTATCGGTAAACGGGTTCAGGTGAGGATTAGATGATAATGACTAGTATTTACAAAGGGCTTATTTTATAACAGGCATTACTCTTAAGTGCTTTGCATATATTAAATCACAGAATTCTCGCAATGTTTGAGGGAGGTTCGGTCTCCATTTTACAGCTAAGGAAATTGATCACTCCCTCCCAAGAGGTGAAGTAACTTGCCTAGTTTCACCCAGTTAAAAAGTGGCGGAGCTAGGATGCCAGGTGATGCAGCCTGACTCCAGGGACTGCACGGGTAGCCACCCTGCTGTGCTGGGATTCTCAGCAAATGCTACTATTTCCTTGCTGAGGCCTGCTTGGCCTGGCCCTAGGGGTGGAGGAAGCTCCCTGCTGGGTGCCAAGCCCATGGGCAGGACCAGAATCTGGGTATGCGGGCCTATGCTGGGGGGAACAGAGGGCGGGAAGCCAGTCGTGCTGAGGTCCCCTGGGCCCCCGGTCTTCAGCACTTCAGATGACAACCTACTTAAGAACATCGAGCTGTTTGACAAACTGGCCCTGCGCTTCCATGGGCGGCTGCTCTTCCTCAAGGATGTCCTGGGGGACGAGATCTGCTGCTGGTCTTTCTACGGGCAGGGCCGCAAAATCGCCGAGGTGTGCTGCACCTCCATTGTCTATGCCACGGAGAAGAAGCAGACCAAGGTCAGAAGGGGTTCAGGGCCTGGTCAGGGAGGGCTATGGTGGTTGGCAGGACCAGGACCCTAGACAAAGGCAGCTCAGCAGATCAGGCAGAGGAAAGTCCATCACTGAGAGTCAGGACAGACTTCCAAGTTTTGGGGCCTTACCTGTGTAAACCATGACACCATACACTCTCATCTGTGATGATCTTGTCAGTACCTGGTCTCTTCTGACCTTCATATGATGGATGTGCCTTCGGTACACCAGAGATCTTGCAGATCTCTAAGTGCCCAATACTATTTCACACCTCCCCAACTTTGCACACATTGTTCCTTTTACTTGGGATTATTCTTCCTCATCCCTGTGTACCTAATGAATTTATCCTTAATCTTTAAGACCCAAGCCATGCATCACTTTCTTTGTAACACCTTCGCTCATGATCTTTCACCTCAACAACCTGAGACAAAGGGGGTTTACTTTGGTAGCTAGGTGTTAGCTCTTTGAGGGTAAGGCTGTATCTTTTGAATATTTTTTCCCTATCTTTCTAGCACTAGTGGAGGCTAGAAGAGTTTATTACACAGTGGAAGCTAGGAAACATTTATTGAATGCATGAATGAATGACCCAGCTTCCAAGAAACTTCCTGTTTTTTGAGGACAGGAAGATCAACAATTAGAATGCAGCTTGTTAAGGGTTATGTTAGTTATGATTCCAACCCACCGAAGGGGAACCCCCTGTCACCTTTTGCTTCATCCCTTCTGCTCTCTCTTCATCACTCCATGTCGTTGTATTGGCCTTGCTGCTCATGTCCTTGCTGCTTAGTGTACTAAGCCCACTCCCGTCCCAGAGCTTTTACACTTGCTGTTGCCTCTTCCCGGACTGCTCTTCCTCTGGTTACCCACCTGGCTCCCACCCACCCACCCCGCTTTCCTTTGGCCATTGGCCAAATGTCATCTTCTCAGTGAGGTCTTCCCTAAGCTCTCTTACAACACTCCCAGCCATGGCCATCCCCACCCCTTCTCCTGCTATAGTTTTTTCTCATAACATTTGTCATCATCTGACAGTCTATATTTTATTAAATGTATGTCTATGTCCTCCCTCTAGAATGTAAACTTCCTGTGGATAGAAACTTTGTTTTGTTCACTGCTATATTCTCAGTGTTTGCAACACCTGGTACAGTGCAGTCACTAGGTAAATGTTTGTCTAATGAAAGAATATACCAAGAGACTTGGTAGCAAAGGAGAGAAAACAACCACCTGACTTCAGAGCTGGACCTTGAATTATGTGTGACTTTGCTGAGTAAAGAAGTTGCAAAGAGGACAGTCCAGGCCAAAGAATCTGTGATTGCAAAGACATGGAGGTGTGTCAGTGCAGGAGCAGCTTGGGGGAAGCGGGTGGTTGTGTGATTGGACCATAGGGTGGGAGCTGGGGGTTGTTGGCCTTTTGCAGGTGGAATTCCCAGAGGCCCGGATCTTTGAGGAGACCCTGAACATCCTGATCTACGAGACTCCCCGGGGCCCAGACCCAGCCCTCCTGGAGGCCACTGGGGGTGTAGCTGGAGGTGGTGGGGCGGGCCGAGGGGAGGATGAGGAGAACCGAGAGCACCGTGTCCGCAGGATCCATGTCCGGCGCCACATCACCCATGATGAACGTCCTCACGGCCAACAGATTGTCTTCAAAGACTAATCTTGACATTTCTCCGTTTTCCTCCTGCCACTAGGACCCAGTCCCTCTTCCCACACCTTTGCCCCGGCTTTGCTGGCCAAGTCGTGGGTCTTCCCTCTGTCCTTTTATTGCATGGTATAGTTCACTCTGGCTGTTTTCCATTCATTCCCACTTCATTGCTAATAACACGGTACATTCCAGCGCCTTCCCTCAGTCAGAGCCCTTCAGAGGCCTACATTCATTCCTTCATCACCATTTTTGTCCTGCTATTTTCCCTTACCAGCTGGTTTAAAATGATTTAGAATTCCCATTCTCTTTTTTTTTTAGTACATTATACATGCCAAAGGGTCAAGCCAGCCCTTAATAACACCCACCACATTCTGAGCTGCCCCCCAACCACTGTGCAGGGTAGTTTGTCTCATTTCCCTTACCTTTCTTCCTACCTCCTTAACTTTGTGTTAGGCTGGCCTGGGCCTGCACCAGCTCAGCTATCTTCTCAATCTGTTTCATATTATTTATTATTTTAATTTTCTATTAAATTATTGGTATAAAGTTGAGTTGAGGATCTGGTGCTGACTCCCAGGATGAGGGCCAGGAAGGTACCTGTCTATTTGAATGGGAGAAGACATGCACCCCTGCCCTGGGGCTGGTAGCTGGGAAGAAAGCAGTCAGGAGTTAGGATTTAAGATTTGTATTTCAATATTCACTAGTCAGTTGCCTCCCTCAGCCCTGCCCATACCCTGCAATGGAGAGGAAGTCCTGGCTACCACTCAAGCCATCCCTGAGTGCAGCATCTCTCCAACCCAGATGTCTGAAAGCAACACCTTCCTTCAAGGGTCTGGTGCAAAGACAAAGTCGAGGGCCTGGCGCTCGGCCCCAGCCACATTGGGATGCCAAAGGTCCACGATGAAGACCACTCGAGGCCCATCCTCAGGGGAGCCTGGGGTACATGGGAATAGAGACAGGAGAGCAGTTGACATTAAGCACTTATATGCCAGAGCACTTACCAAATACTCAAAAAAGCAAACACTTTGTAAATAAGTGCCAAGCACTGTTCTAGCCCCTGATATGCATCAACTCTTAATCATCAAAATAAACTATAAGGTAATACCATAATTACTCCTATTTTATACAGAGTAACTGAGGAACAAAGAGGTTAAATCACTTGCCCAAGTTCACACAGCTAGTAAATGCCTGAAGTATATGTTGTATGAAAGGAGCGGTTACCACTCCCCTTGACAAAGGTGGAAGAGGCCCGCAGGCCCGATGGCACATATGCAGTTAAAGCATTGCCACCTGCGTGGTGGCATCTGACCATGTAAGTGCCAGAAGTAGCACAGGAACCCTGGCAGTCCAGGCCCTGGGTCTTATGCTGTTAACCACTTTGAACCTACATTTATTTAATCCTTTAGTCACCTTATCAAGAAGGCAGTTTCCCCATTTTGCAGGTGATCGTAAAAGCTGTGTGACTTGTTCAAGGATACACAGCTGGGAAATGGTGGTGCTAGGACAGCAAGCCAGTGGGCCTGATTCTGTAGCCTCTCATATGACTATTTCCCTTCTCTGTTAGTCCCTCATCCCTCCTGGCAGAGCAGGAGCCCCATTACCGTTATGAGCCACTGTGTGCAGGAAGGAGTCATCCACCAGTAGACAGTGTCCCTCAGCCCAGCACTGGGGCTCACCCCCAACCACCAGCTCACAGCCAGGTGGGATCTTCAGCCCTGTGGACAAAGACCCAGGCATACCAGGTTCTCTGGCGGTTCCTCCTTGATCTCTGTAATGTGACTTGAAATATAATCATAAAACAATGCTGGCTGAAAGAAGTGCTAGTAAATACAGGGAAATGCAGTGCAAAGCACAATCTGTTCTGTTTCAGAGAAAAGGGAAGGCTTCCTGGAGGAAGTTTCATTTCCTCCTAGGCTTCTGACAGTTTAAGAACCTACTATATGCTGGGCCTTCCCTCCCTGCAAGATATAAAACTAATGACTCCATTCTTGCCTAGAGACAGACCATACAGTCAGGTACTGAGAAAACTGACCAGCCACTTCAAATGATAAGGAATGAGAAGACACCCCAGGAAAGATGTGACATTTGAATTTATGTTTCCTGAGTGCTAAGTAGGAGTTTCCCAGTGGTGATAAAATGATAAATGGTAAAGACGTTTTAGCTTAAGTGTATAGCACGAGTGTGGTGTCTGCCAGGATTAGTCAGAAGGCCTTCATTTTTTAGAGCATGGTGGGAGGGAAGGCAAGGAGAGGAACATGGGAGATGAGGAGAGGAAGAGTCTGGATTGGATCCTGAGGCTCGTGTGCTTCAAGTGGAGGACACACCAAGCAATAGTGCACATGATTTCAGGCAAAACAAGGTCACAGAATTAAATAATCAGAAAACTGTTTTCTTCTCCATTTTCTCTTGGTCTTTAAAACATCAAAAAGCAAATCTCAGTTTAGTGTTATCATGACATTAACACCCTCACTAACACTGCTCCCTTCTAAACGAGGACAGTGTAGGCTTCAGTTCCAGAGAGACTTTAGCCAGAATTTTAAAAGCCTTTTCTAAAAAATTTAAATGTTTTTATGAGTACTTTCCATTTAGGGCAAGTAATACTGATAATCGTGTTCTGTAAAGATTCCTTTTAAATAAGTAAAACAAAATATGGAGGAGAATCCATATGAAGATATATAATACAGATGATAAATGACTATGGCAAAGCTTATGGAGATGGTCTGCAGTAACTGAAGCTCAGGAAATGCTGCTGCTGTGGGAAACTGGTTGTCCCGAAAGACTTCTGAGAGAAGAGGCATGATCAGAGCCACAGTGTAGAAAGCTCTGGCAGCAGAGGAGAGAGGCAAGGAGGTTGTCTGCAGGCATCATCTACTTACCAAGATGGCATCTGACCCGGGCATTGGTGGGCCCACAACGGCCCTCAAGCCGGGCGCCCGGAAGGAGGACAGAAAAGCCAGCATTGCCAAAGGTGTTGGCGCTCATGAAGCTCCGCAGGCCCCTCAGTGTCCGATAGGCCCTGGGGCACCGGCGGCAGTTGTTGGGTTGGCACCGGCCTGCTTGATACAGCAGGAGCTGATAGCACCCAGGAGCCAACAGTGGGGACCAGCCCCGAGGAAGAGGGACTGATTTCTCAGTCCCTGAGAAATCCCAGCTCACAGCCCCAAAGTCTTGCAAAATAGCAGAGAAGCTGCTTTCCAGGAGCTCCACGTCATGTCTCTGGGCATCCCGCGGCACGAAGGGTGCTGAGGGCAGGTCGGGCAGGAAAAGCAAGTCTGGGCGCTGAATGCCCAGGACCCCTGGCCCTCCCCCAGGGCCTGGGCCACCCTGAGCTGCTCGCCTCACTCTACCCATCCCAGCCCAGGAGTAGCGCCTGGCATAGGCCCGAAGGCGACGGCTCACTAGACCTTCTGTCCTACGTCCTTCCCCAGGCTCCCCAGAGCTCCCTGGGCTTGGCTTGCCAAACTCAGAGCATCTCCCAGGCCCACCACTGACACCCCCGGCCTGACTCCCAGCCCCCAGAACCTGCATGTCTTGGGAGCCCAAGCGGTAGCAATACCAGAGGAAAAGGGAAGTGAGGGCTCCCAGGAGCAGGGTAAAGCCTGAGGAGGCCAGGGGCAACGGCCATGTAGGCGTGATGGGCAGGGAGACCATGGCCAAGAGGCCTGGGACATCTTCCTGACCCCAGTTCCCCTGTGCCCCTAGTTCATCCTCCATGGCTGCTTCCTGGTTACCCCCCGGGCTGTTTCCCTTCCACATTTCCACTCTAGGTTCTCTCTGCTTCAGCGGTCTTCTCTTCACCTTGTATCTCCGGCCTTCTCTCCTCCTTCATGTACCTTTAACCCTTCTTTCCCTTTTTCCTTCTACCTCTCTCCTCTCTCACCTTTTCTTTCTCCTTGTGGCAGTTTCCTCTCTCACCCTCTGCCTCTCCTTTCCTCACCCTCTGTCTCCTCTTCTCCTTTCTTCTCCCTCCACCCCTACCCCTCCTTTCTCTCGCTCTTTCCTCCCGCACCTTTTCTTCTAGCTTCCCTGGACAGCAGTTCCTACCCCACCTGGACCCCGCAGCCCTGGGGACCTGCAACCAGTCGTCTTCCGCAGCGGCTTCTCTCACTCCTTCCCCCTTCTCTCCCTGCCCTCTCTTCTCATTCAACCCTACCCGCAGGTTCGCACGCGCGTGCGCGCGTGCTTTTTCCCCCCACTCGCTCCTTCCTTGGCTCCCACACGCCTTGACGTCACTCCATCCTACGGTAGTCCCCTCAGTTTAGCTACCCTAGTCCCCTGCCCAGTGGCAGCGGCAACTCAGCCAGCGGGGAAAGGGGGTGGTCTCCGGGTTTCCTTCTCCCCGGACCCCGAAGGGGCGCCACGTGCGTCGCCAGGGGCAAGGTGCCAACCTCTAACCTTCCCGCAATGCGAAAAGAAGGGGCGGGACCTGGGGGCGGAACGAACCAAGGGGCGGGGCGAACGTGCAGACTGCGGACGGGGAGGCTTCGGCCCGCCCTTGGGTCTGCCGACCCAGGACCAATCCGCCTGTGACTCCTCCTCCCCCTTCGCTTCCACCCAAGCAGACCGTGGAGGGCCCCAGATTGATGGTGATGGAGGCTTCAGCCAATCCGCCGAAGCGCGGGGGCGGAGTCCACACACAGGCTGGGCCGGGAAGAGCTGTCCGCGCACTGGTGGTGCTGAAAAGGGCGCTTCAGAGGCGCTGAAAGGCCAGAAATGAAAAATCAAAGTTGAAACCCTACAAACATAGAAACTTGACATTCTCCTAGAGGACAGGAAAGCCCATTACACAGGAACTTCTGTAAAATAGAAGGATACGTCCCATAGGAGGGCCTGGATTATAGGCAAGGGGCATATTGGGGGCTGAACCCAGCTTTGTCGTTCCCGGCACCCTGGGAAGAGGAGATTCAGATTCCAGATGTTGTTGTAAGGGCGAGGAGAAGGGACTGTAATTATTTCTGGGACCAGAGTTTCCTTTGCCTTCCCTAGGGGCTGAGGGAGTGAGGATTGTGGTCCTGGCTCATATGGTCCCTCCTTCTTCCATCTGCACTTCCTCCTCCTTCCTCCCGCCCCCCCAATAAATCCCAAGCCACTCCCTTCGCCCGTCCCCAGGATCTGACGTGAGCTCGACACCTTTCTCTGCTTCTCCCTCCCGCAGCTCTAGTGCCAGAGCTTCAGCTCTCTAGGTTCTGCAACCCCCTTCCCTCCCCGCCAAGCCCCGCTGAAGCCCAGTAGGGATCTTCCCGATCCTTGAACCCACCCCAGGCCCCGGGAAGCTGCCTTGCCTTCCTCAGCTAAATCTCACCTTGGTAGACCCAGGAGGCGGAGCAAGAGGGTAACCCAGGAGACCTAGCTCCTTCGGCCCTCTCGGCCCTCTCGCCTCCACCCACTGCAGCCGGAGCCGCGCCCCCTCTCCCACAGATTCGGGAGCCGAGAACAGAGGCGATTGGGCAAAGAGGGGTGGGCTTCAGGCGATCTCCCAGCCCAATTCTTCCCCTCCATCCCGAGGGGCCGAGAAATTGTCTTCCTTGCTAACTACTAGCAGGGAAAAACATTAAAGGGAAAGATAGAAGGAGACGGAGGAAAGGTGACAACGAGATTATTTAAGAGAGGTGCAGAGGAGACAGAGGAAAGGTGACAGCTAGATTATTTAAGATAGGCGCAGAGAAGAGAAATCAGAGTGAGTCGCCATGGGGATTCCCAAGGCCCAACACCCGCCGCCTCCCCAGCTGCTGTTCCTAATTCTGCTGAGCTGCCCCTGGATTCAGGGTAAGGACGTGGGATCATGGGGGTGGGCCCATGAAGGCTCCCAGAGGGGTCCTTTACTCTCCTTTCTCTGAATACCCTGGGCCTTCCAAGCTCTTAGGGAAGGGGAGGGGCACAACTGATGGGAAGGGGCAAGCCAGAGCTTTCCAGCTTGTATGTGGAGCCCCGAACTCCACTATAGAGGAAGTGGGAAAATGAGTTAGGGTAGCTTTTAGCAGGGTCTCAGGGGGTTAAATCCAAGAAGGAAGGCTGAGGAAGTTGGGGGATGTCTGTGGAGGTGGCAGAACACGCAGAGTACCTGAGCAGGAGACGGAGATGCTGGGAGGGATGCCAGGTACTGCACACACAACTGCTCTTGGATGTATGAACAAAGACAGATGAATAGCGGCACTGCTCAGAGACCAGATAGTCAGTTCCCCTCTCTGCCCCCCAGCCAGACTCCAGGCAGAGACTGCAGAGAAAGAGAGAGAGGAGGGAGGGAGGCAGGGAGGAGGGACAGAGAGAGAGAGAGAGGGAGAGAGAGAACACCACACTGCAGAGACAGAAATCCAGAGAGAAATCTGGGCACTGCAGAGGCGAGGGCTGAGAGGTGCTGTCAGACCCTCCGCAGAGACCAGGAGACCACTGAGATGAAAATGAAGGCAGCACCATTCCCCATTTTCCACTCTTCTGGTGCTGTCCAGTGTTCATTACAGCCAAGGTGCTCTCTGAAAGGCTTACACAGCTTGCGGGCAAAGGAGCGGAGGATACAGGATTGTGAGGGGTAGCTGGGAGCCCCTCCTCCCATCTTAGCTCTTCACTCAGCCTGGAACCCTATGAGGTCCTGCAGTCCCAGCTGAAGAGGGAGAATAACTCTGGAAAATATCTCTCTGGTGAATCTAGGAGTGGGGGGCAGTAAAAGGGCTCATACGACCTTATCTCTTAGGTCTTCCCATGAAAGAGGAGGAAGCACTGCTGGAGCCTGGAAGCGAGACCCCCACAGTAGCCTCGGAGGCCTTGGCTGAACTGCTCCATGGGGCCCTGCTGAGGAGGGGCCCAGAGATGGGCTACATGCTGGGTGAGGCTCCCAGAGTGGCAGGGGTGACATAGAGGCAGAGGGAGAGACATTAACTCAGGGGATGGGGAGCTAGGCCAGTGAAATTCAGAGGGAGAAGATAAAGTCAAAGCTGGGTATAGACAGAGAAAGAGAATCATCAAGAGACAGAGTCAGACAGAAAAACAGACAATCAGAGAAAAAGATGGAAACTCAGAGAAGCAGATTCAGAAAAATAGTGTAAGAGAGACACAAAAAGAGAAAGAGAGAGAGAGAAATACAGAGATTAGTAGATCCAGAATCATAAAATCAGAGAGTGATACAAATACTAATCAGAGAAATGAAGAGTTCTAGAGAGAGCAAGAGAGAGAGCGCTACATAGAGGAAAGGGAGATGGGTAGCCAGGAGAGGAACCAAATTGGAACGAGGAGGCAAAGAAAGAGGCTCACAGAGACTGTCAGAGTGGAAGGGCCTGATCCAGAGGTGGACAGGGGAAGAGAAGGGGGAGGGTCTCAGGCTGTGGAGGCCTTGGGAGGAGGTGAAGGTTTGGGGTGGAGAAAGTAGAGGTGGAGGGTTTGTTCCTTGTGGGGAAGGTCTTTTGGGTTCAGTGGGGAACCCCCAGTTTCCCTCAGCCCTACTCCCACCCAAGGCCCACCAGTTTGCTCTTCCCGTGCCCTGACTTCTCTTGCACTGTCCCAGGAACTGATCCAGACCCCACACTAGCCAGCCCTCCAGCCAGCCAGACTCTTGCATCGCCCTCCCTGCCACGGGCCACTGAACCAGGGACAGGGCCTCTGACAACAGCCGTAACCCCTAAGTGGGGTAGGGGAGCAGGCCCCACCGCACCGGAGCTGCTGACCCCACCCCCGGGAACTACGGCCCCGCCCCTTTCCGGTCCAGCATCCCCAGGCCTGCCTCTCAGGCCTGAGGGAGGAGAGGAGGAGACGACGACCACCATCATCACCACAACAACTGTCACCACCACCAGCCCAGGTGCAGCAACTGAAAGGGAAGGGGATAGTGTTCAAGGGGAGTGGGATATGGATGGGGGAGAGGCTGCAGGGAAGGTATGAAAGAAGCGGTCTGGGTACAAGTAGAAGAGGAGCTTCTGCTTAATAATAAAGGCTAGCATTTATATACCCATTCTAAGCACCTTTCTATGTCTTATCCATGTTGCAGTTGGAGAAGGGAGTTCTGGGAACAGGTGGGAGCAGGAGCTTTGAATAAAGATGGTGAGGGGTGCTGGGGAGAAGACAGATGAAGACCCCAGAGTTGCTTGGCTGGGAGGGCAAGAACACAAGAATTCGTTCAACCCTAACCACTTATATCTTTTTAGTTATGTGTAATAACAACATCTCCGAGGGCGAAGGGCATGTGGAGTCTCCAGATTTAGGGAGTAGCACCAGCCACACCTTGGGACCCCTGGACTGCACATACAGCATCCATGTCTACCCCGGCTATGGCATTGAGATCCAGGTAAGTGGACTTAAGCATATGAGTATGACTGTGAAACCTTCAAGCCCCTTCCTCTGGGCCCTAGGGTGTGCACAAGTTTGATATGAGAGCCAGACAACCTGTTTTCTAACTTGAATGGGCCTGTTTTCTGGTATTTGAAAAGACTCTTGGAGTTCTACCACTTGGCTGTTGTCACCATGGTATTTGGACTGCCACATACAGAGAAAAGGAAAGCAAGGGGCGGGGGGCTTCAGGGGTTTCCCACCCTGGTTGACTTGCCCTGATGGGCTTCTTCTCTGTCTGGCTTCTTTAGGTACAGATGCTGAACCTGTCTCGGGAGGAGGAACTCTTGGTGCTGGCTGGTGGAGGTGCCCCAGGCCTGGCCCCCCGACTCCTGGCCAACTCCTCCATGCTGGGAGAAGGACAGGTCCTTCGGAGTCCAACCAATCGGCTGCTCCTGCACTTCCAGAGCCCTCGGGTCCCAAGGGGCAATGGCTTCAGGATCCACTATCAGGGTGAGGAGTTCATGGTGCTGGTAGAAGGGCAAGGGACTCACTGGCACAGGGACATCTTCCAAGCACAGCACACGTCAGGGACTTTTCCTCCTGACTGACATCCTGGGAACAGAATCCTCAGAGGAGACATGTGCACACTTAGTTCACACACTTACAGACTTGTGTCTGAGTGTGCACTCATGCAAGTAACAATTCATCCATTCACTCAACAAATGTTTATCTAGTGTCTGCTTCATACTGGCCCTGTGTTAGTCTTGGGGACAGGAGTGAACAAGCCACGTGTAAATCTGACAAGGAACTCAGAATCTAGGTAGGGAGATTCTAATCTAGGGAGATGGACAAGTAACAGATTGTAATTCAATGACCTAAGTACCCATATCCTTATGATAGAGGAATATAGGCAGAAAAAGCAAGTATCAAATGGACCTAAACTTCTCCTAAGGAATATAGTGATACCTTCTTGGAGGAGATGGTAATTAAGCTGAGACCTAAAGGGTGAGTTAGCTAGGGAAAAGGTGGGAGGGAGCAAAAGTGGAAGACAGATGTCCAGATGGATGAAAAAACTCACTCCAAGATCCAGAGAGAAGAAAAAATATGAGTCCCTCAAAGAGTTGAAGTAATTCAGTATGGAAGACAGAATTGTCCTAGCTGTGTGATCTGCAACGAGTTACTTAACCTTTTTGTGCCTCATTGCCTCATCTGAAAAATGGGGATTATAATAGTTACCTCATAGTATTATTAGGATGAACAAAGAGTTAATACATATCAATTGCTTAAAATAGCATCTGGTACACAGAGCTCAAAAATGTCAGTCATTGCTATTACAGTAAAAGCACAGAAAGGAAGAGAGGGGAAAAGTAGGCTAAGAGACCAGACCAGGAGGTAGGTTGGATCATGAAGGGCCTTATCAGCTTCAGTAAGAAGTTCAGACTCTTTTTCTGCAAGGGAGGGGGGAATACTTTGAAATGTTTAAAGCAGGATAGTGACAGCCTCAGATTTGTGACCTAGAAAGATCCCGATGACTTCTGGGGGAAGGGAAGTGAGACAGATCTGTACATGACTGCACTCATGAGCATCCACCCACAAACAACCTACACATGTGTGTGTCCACACTTGCCTGTGTGTACGGGGAACCTTCCCACAATGCAAGTGTGTGTTCTAGCATACATGTGTGCCTGAGGCAAGGGGCTCAGCCCACTGCCCAACTCTAGACACTGCTGACTCTCCAAAATGCCTCTCTATGCTCCTCAGAAATAGAGAGAACTATGTCCAGTCAGTGTCCCTTTCATGTCACCTCATGGCCTTGCCTGACCCCTTATTAGCTTTGCTGACCCCAGATTTCTTTCCCAGGACACACATAACTTGTATCCATACATTATAACCTCTCCAGCCTTTCCTGAGGCTTCCACTGAGGACCTGCTCCAGAGACTCATTTGTGTAAGGTGGAGGCGCCCAACACCAGACCTGTACTGGGACAGCACAGCAAACTAAGGGACATATAGTTGGTGGTCAAGATCGTATCTAGGGGAACGAGGGCATGCCTGCCTTGAGGGCCCAGGGCAGAGGGTTGAACTATAGATATTAAAGTACGGCCCCCTGTTGCTTCCTTTAAGCAGCCACTTCCCTAGGGCACTGAAAATAGGACTCTGGGCTAAGTAGAACATTTGGGGGAAGCAGAGCTATTTCATAAGTTGCCCTTCATTACCTGCCTTGGTCCTCCCTGTTTTATGGCTTCTCTGGGCACCTTTGGAGACAAAGCCCTGTTTAAGCACTTCCTAACCTTCCAGAGCTGGGGCCTCTGGTCCAGAGTGGCCTTGTTAGCTTCTCTGACAAGGCTCCATCACCCCTCACGCCAAGTCCAGCAACTGTTGCTTCATTTGCTTCTCATAGCAGACCTGGAGGTGGCCATTGTCAACTCCACCTCTGAGAGGAAGAAAAAGACTCAAGGTTATATGGATTGCTCAGTCACCCACAAATTCATTGCAGAGTCAGAAGTCAGAATCCTGAGTCCCTGACTCCCAGTCATTCATTAATTGAGGCTGGTGAGAGGCAGGTGATGAACAGTTTCTGAGCTCTTTATATATGCTGGGTACTTTGCATGTTTGTTTGTTTCATTTTGAGGCCAATCCTAATTGATAGGGATTATTATTGCCACTTATAGGTTAGAGGCTCTAGAGGTAAAACCACCTGTTTGAGGTCATATAGGCTAATAAGTTATGGAGCTAAGATCTGGAACTCAGATCTGCCTGTCTCCAAATCCAGTGCTCTTTGCACTGTTCCACACTGCCTCTTGGCTGCATCGGTTGATCAGTTAGACCAGGCTTTTAGGAGACAAAATAAATAAGGCTTGGTTTAGTCTCTTAATGGCAACAGACAGTGGTTAATGTGATGATAAAATTATATGTGTGGGACTATATATAGGCAAGAGAGCAACTAACTCTACTAGAGAGAGAGTAGGGGTCAGGAAGACTTCCTGGAGGAGTAACGGTTAAGTTACTCCTTGAAAGATGAGAAAGAGCAAAAGAGGGCCTTGCAGGTAAGGGAAATGTGAAGAAACATAGAGGTGAGACCGTAAGACGTTACAAATCTGCACTGTGTAGTATATATGGGTTATATAGGTGATAGGAATTGGAGGTGGATATGCTGGGCAGGACCCAGCTGTGGGGCTTGAATGTCAGTCTAAAGCATTCAGACTCGGTTCTGTTGGTCATGGAGAGCCATCACAGGGGCTAACATTTATTCAAATCACTGTGCTCAAGAAAGTTGTTTTTATGTCTATCTCAGCAGACTGTAGATTCCCAAAGAGCAAGGCCTGAGTCTTTTCATGTCTCTCCTCCCAGGACCCTGCCAAAGACATTCTTATTGAATTTAAACATATAGGGAGAGACCAGGTCTCCTACAGAATCATTGAGAGCTAGAGAGTTAGAAAAAGCGAAGGCCTAGGCAAGATGGTATCTCCCAAGCCCTCTGCCAACTATAGTCGGCCCTTCCTACAAGACCCAGTTTTGGTGTATTTCTTCCAAGAAGCCCTTCTTGATGAGCTCTGCCTGCTCTGAAACAGACACACAGAGCTCTTCTGAGATCAAGTTCAGAGTCCATCGTTTACTGCCAAGTCACTTTCTATTTATTTGTTTTATCCCGTATGACTCCAAAAGAATTTCAGGAGGCTTTCAAAAGAGAATTCAAGCAATAAAATTAAAAAGACTAAGTAAGAAAAAACTGGTACCAGGCAATGTTTATTAAAATTGATAAAACAGAATGTGCATGGAGAAAACTTTGTTGCGAGCTTCCGAGCTTCCTAGCAGCCAGTGCAAAAAGGAGAGATTTCACAGTCCACACAGCAAGAAAGGAGAAGATAAAACAGCTCCTTGATGAAAGCAAAGCGCTTCACTTACACTGGGCTATTCATTTAGAGAGCAGTGAGTATTAAGGACTTTAATGATAAAATAGTCAAAGTTCCTAAAGAAGTTGCATCTGGTTCCTGTGGATGAAAGCTGAGGCTCTAATACCATAGTGTACCCCTGTGAAAGAAAGTACAAGAAAGTGTGTGTGGAGGGGAGGAAATGCTCTGAGGCACTTAACAACTTGGAGCCTCATTTTCTGCATCTGGAAAATAGGTCACAGTGTTTCTCTTTTATTAGAGCTGGGTGGGGGTTTGGTCAATTGATTTGCTTGAGGTCACATAGCATATGAGTGCTAGGATCCGGAATTTCTTTGAGTCTCAGGTACCATATCTCTAAAATGGGGGCCAAAGTGGGTAGATTCCAAAGACTAGGGGAGATAAGGGATATTGAAACTACTTCTTCATGAGACAATGTACCCATGTGAGGACTCCATATGGAGCCAGCTTGTACCCCCAGGGATCCTGGAAAGAGGGAGGAAGTGCTGGGGGACTGGTGAGAGACAGTGGCATGGGAAAATGAGTCTCCCTTCTCCATCCTCTCCCTGCTCCAGCCTACCTCCTGAGTTGCGGCTTCCCTCCCCGGCCGGCCCATGGGGATGTGAGTGTGACAGATCTGCACCCTGGGGGCACTGCCACCTTCCACTGTGATTCAGGCTACCGGCTGCAGGGCGAAGAGACCCTCATCTGCCTCAATAGTACCCGGCCAGCCTGGAACGGTGAACCCCCCAGCTGTATAGGTGAATCTCCTGCCACAGTAGGTGAGGGCTTCTGTCCTAGGAGCCCCACTGGAAGGGTCCTATGTTGGGGCTTTCCATCTTTGGGGAACACCCATCTTGAAGGAGTTTTGACCCTGAAGAGTTGCTATCCTGAGGCCTCCATCTGGAGCTCTTTACATTGAGGGTCTCGATCCTTGGAGTCGTTGTCGTTGGGAAGGAGACTTCCATCTGGGAAGCCCCACATGGGAGGTTTCCACATTGGGAGTCGCCGTTCTGGAGGTCCCTTCTTTTGGAGACTCTTCATCTTAGAGGAAACCATTTTTGGGGGAGTCTCAAACCTTCGAGATGTCTCTATCCTGAGGAGTCTTCGTCCTGGGGATCCCAGCCTGAAGATTTTCCATCTGAGGGCTTCAATTGTGGGGATCCCTAATAAATCTCCATCCCAGCATGTCTGCGCCTGAGTAGTCTTCTTTTTGGTGAAATCTCCATCCTTGGGCTATCCACTTGGGTTTTCCTATTCCAGATCTGGATTCCTACCTCGGTGGTAGCCTGAAAAATGTCCTGTTCCCTAGGGTGAGCATGTAGGGCAGAGGCTGGCCATGCTGAGGCCAGGTCCAAGTCAAAGGGGTGGATGCAACAGCTCTGGAGACGGGGGTGCGGGGGAATGTCACCTTAACCTGCTCCTCCTCTGCCCACAGCATCCTGTGGTGGCACCATCCATAATGCTACACTGGGCCGCATCGTGTCACCTGAGCCTGGGGGAGCTGCAGGGCCCAACCTCACCTGCCGTTGGGTCATTGAAGCAGCTGAGGGACGCCGGCTGCATCTGCACTTTGAGAGAGTCTCACTGGATGAGGACAATGACCGGTGAGGGCCTAGGCCTTGGATCAGAGGTCCCTACCGCAGGGGAATAGGGAGGCTACCGTGGGGAGTCAGACAGACATTGGGTAGACCCCAGTTGGGATCTGTGTCAAAGGCAGGTTAGTCATTCTTTTTCTTAGGCAGCGTAGCTGTACAGACTTAGATGAATCTCTTAACCTCTGTATGCCTCAGTTTCCTCCTCTGTAGAATGAAGATAATAAATAGTACCTCTCTCAATGTTTCTGTGAGGATAAATGCATTAAGACGTGTAAAGTGCTCAGAATGGTGCTAGTGCACAGTAAGCATTAGAGTTTGCATCATCATCATTATCGCTCTTTAACCAGCTGGTGTCCCAGCTCTGACGGCAGTTGCTGTGATGTTAGGCAGGTTTCTTAATCTTTCTGTGCCTCAATTCCCTCATCTATAAAACAAGGGGTAATAAAAACAGTATCTGACTCAAGGATTCTTGTAAGCATTAAACAAGATAAAATATGTAAAAGCTTAGAAGAGTACATGGCATATAATTGATGTTTGGAAATTATAGCTATGAAAATAAGTTGCAAGTGCAGGCAAGAGTTGAGGCAGCGTCTGAGGGGAAACTGAGCTCCTGGACGCTTCTGTTCATCCCAGGCTGATGGTGCGCTCAGGGGGCAGTCCCCTGTCCCCAGTGATCTATGACTCTGACATGGACGATGTCCCAGAGCGAGGTCTCATCAGTGATGCCCAATCCCTCTATGTGGAGCTGCTTTCAGAGACACCTGCTAATCCCCTGCTCCTGAGCCTCCGATTTGAAGGTAACTGCTCTCCCATCGGGCCCCAGCCCCAGCACCTTCCTCTCTTCCTGATGTCCACACGTGGTCACAGCACGTCCTCTAACCCTGCTCATCTCTGTGTTTGGATTCCTAAAACCTGACTTTCCTCCCCAACCTAAAACTACAAGGATCCCTTCTAATTCTGTGAGGTGGCTTTTTCTGTTTAAGCCTCGTGTATGGCTGGATCCAGGTACACAACCAAGAAACAGTTACCTTAACCTCTCAGTTCTTTCCTCTCTGTTGGCTTCATTCTCAGGCACTCTCAGTCTGTGGTGAACCGAGCAGTTCCACACTAACATACTACCAACTTAGTAACTAGCAGAAAGAGAGAAAGCATGCCACTTTTCTAAGAGCTTCAGCAAAAAATGCCAGGAAATGTTCTTATTGGCCTGGCTTAGGTCATACCACTGTAGCTAGGGGCAGGTGGTATTATTGGCAGATTCACATCATGCAGCCAACCCTACTTGGCCCCAAATGAACCTCACGAACTGGAGTCGTGGCAGCCATGTGTGCCAAAATGAAAATAGGAGTGTTGTTACTTACCAGAAGAAGAGGGACTGGATGCTGGACAGGTAGAAACAAGGAGGTCATTGGTCATGGGAGAAGAGGCATTTGAGCTGGGCCTTAAAGGATAAAGAGAATTTTTAAAGAGAGAGATTGAGAATGAGCATTTTGGGCTAAAGGAACCGTGTGAGTAATGGTAAAGGGGTAGAGAAAGGCCTGTTTGGGAAACAGAGAATGCCAGTGTGATTGGAGCGGAGAATTGACTCTGGGCCCTAATGAATGTGTAGGATTTGGACATGACATCTTATTAGGTCCAGTAACAATGAATCTAAAAGCTAAATTTCATGTTATATTCTGAGAGTGCAATGAGAATGCCTAGTTTTGAGGCCTGCCTCCCTAGTGGTGGGCCACCGATGCTTCAGATTCCTGTTCTGTATGATAAGCACCTCAGTCTTACCTCACAGATAGTTTTGCAGCTAAGGTATGATCAGGTGGGGAAAAACAAAAATGCTCTACAAATGTTCATTTTTGCTGATTTGGTCCAAAGTCAAAGCTGAGTAGCTTTTGCGTTAGCTGCACTTTTAGATGCTAGTCTCAACATGGATAATCAGAGATTATTAGAATCCAACCGTTATTTTTGAGGAGAGAACACACCTACATGAGCCAGTGCTCCAAAGGCATGCTTTCCCCCGCCCCCTCCTTTGTAGTTTCCAGAGCCAATTGTTTCTGGCTGGGGACCAAGCAATCTGTGTTTCAGATGTGATTCTGCCACTGCCCTACTGTGTGACACCGGGCAAGTGGCTTTTTGCCTTTGGACCTCAGTTTGCTCATCTGCAGAATGAATTGAATGGCTGGGATTTTACTAGCCCAGGGGTTTCCCTCCAGAATCCTCTAGGGAGGTAACATGAATATGAATGAAGAGTGCTAGGGTTTGGGGGAAACTGGAGAGTGAAAGCTAAGTCCAAAGTCATTCAGTTTTAAATAGCTCACTGAGTGGCCAAGCAACACTTGAATTCAGCCCAAGTCCCCCAGTCTGAAACCCCTCGATGTCTGTCCAAATGTTTAATGTGTGTGATTGACTCCTCTTCAGCCTTTGAGGAAGATCGCTGCTTCGCCCCATTCCTGGCACATGGCAATGTCACTACCACAGACCCGGAGTACCGGCCAGGGGCACTGGCTACCTTCTCATGCCTCCCAGGATATGCCTTGGAGCCCCCTGGCCCCCCCAATGCCATCGAATGTGTGGATCCCACAGAACCCCACTGGAATGACACAGAGCCAGCCTGCAAGGGTGAGCCTTCCATATCGCCCGTAATCCTTCATACTACAGATTAGCCCCTGAGTTGGGGATGCTGGGAGTCTATTCACAAGAGACCTGCATACGCAAACCTAATAAACCCAGGCCTTGGGTAAATCCCTGTTCCTTTCAGAGACTCAGTTTTCTTGGTTAAGTAATTAGTGGGCTTGTTACAGATTTCAGGGGTTACAACCCAAATGTCTCCAAGTGCTAGACATGAAGTTGGGCTAAGTCGTGTATTGGGTGGGCAGTAGGTCGGGTTAATTAAGAGCAGGGCTGGAGATTGGACACAGCAGGACTAGTATGGCGAGAAACAGGTGAGTAGTAGATAATAGGAAACCCGCGAAGCGGTCTTGGTGCATACAGTCGGGAATGGTGAGGAGTGTGCTGAAATGGAGACTGCGTGCTCACCTGGGTCCTGAATCTGACACCCTTTCTACCTTAGCCATGTGTGGAGGGGAGCTGTCAGAGCCAGCTGGTGTGGTCCTCTCTCCAGATTGGCCCCAGAGCTATAGCCCCGGCCAGGACTGTGTGTGGGGCCTACATGTCCAGGAAGAGAAGCGCATCTTGCTCCAAGTTGAGATGTATGTTTGGGTGCTGCAGAGGGCGCGATGGGTATGGGCTCAGCAGTGTGGTATAACAACACACTAACCTGCATCCTGAGCCTGGCTGGCTCCTGTGTCTACACAAGATTTGGTGACTACATGGTCTAATGAGAGAGGCGACTAAAGGTTCAGGATGGGGGTGTGGGTTGTCAGGTAGACCTAGGTGCAAATCACTAATTAGCCAGGCGGCCTAGGACAAGTAAATGGGGCAATGCAACCTTCCTCAGGAACTATTGTGAAAAGGGGCCTTTGGTCTAGTGTCTCTCACTCTGGCGGCTTCTGAGGTCACTCTGAAGCAGATCCCAGGCTTCCAGGCCCAAGTGGTTGCAGCATTGACAGACAGTAAAGTGGGTGTGGGGAGAATCCAGTGAACTGATTTGGTGTGAGGTGGTCCTGAAACTGGACAGACCCAGAAGTGGGCGTGGCCCAAAAACTCCCTCAGAGTTTGCGCGGAGTTGCGCCGGAATGGTGAGGATCCTGGTCTGTGACTGGTCAGAGCTGGTGCCAAGCTAGGCTGTGCATCACCTGGTATGGAGGCGTGGGAGGAGTTAATAGTGAGCAGAGTTGGGGGATTGGGGAGCAGGAACTGGGAGGAGCAACGGAACTAGTGGAACCTGGAGAGACTAGCACAGAGAAGCCCCAAATTGGTCAAAACTGAGGAGGGGCGTTTCGGGTAGGGGAATATGGGGCGGGACCGGAGAGTAGGCAGGGTATCAATAAACTGAGTTAGGGATTGGGAATCGATCGTAGTCCAGCCCCCATACCTGGTTCTACTCCCTGCAGCTTGAATGTACGTGAAGGGGACATGCTGACTCTGTTCGACGGGGACGGTCCCAGCGCCCGAGTCCTGGCCCAGTTGCGGGGACCTCAACCGCGCCGCCGCCTCCTCTCCTCTGGGCCCGACCTCACGCTGCAGTTCCAGGCACCGCCCGGGCCCCCAAACCCTGGCCTGGGCCAGGGTTTCGTGTTGCACTTCAAAGGTACCGAGGTCTTAGGACCCCAAGATGGGCAGGGTTCCGGCAGGCCAGAGATTCCAGCGAGGCTGGAAGGGCGCTCTGAGTCTCAGAACAGCCTCTGAACTAGCTGTGTCTACCCTGCAGAGGTCCCCAGGAACGACACATGCCCTGAACTGCCACCTCCGGAGTGGGGCTGGAGGACGGCTTCTCACGGGGACCTGATCCGGGGAACGGTGCTTACTTACCAGTGCGAGCCTGGCTACGAGCTGCTCGGCTCGGACATTCTCACCTGCCAGTGGGACTTGTCCTGGAGCGCAGCGCCCCCCGCCTGCCAAAAGAGTGAGCAAGGGACCCACCCCTGTCCTTTCCTAAGTTTGGGAAGCCTGTTACAAGGATAAGGGGTCGTAGTTCTTCTACTTGGCCCCTGGGGGCAATGGTGGGGCCAAGGAGCATTAAGTTTCAGGAAGCCAGATTCAGGTTGGACACACGTAAAGCTTTCTAGTAGAAACAGCTCCTTGCCTCGGGGGAGGATTCGTGGGATGCCCTGTCTGGAGCCCAGATAGGACAGAAGAGGATGGAGGTAGGGTTCAGAGGAGGTAGAGGCTGGCCCGGCTGCTCCAGGCTCAGGAGGGGACCTGCCCAAGGAGAGACATTGAGCCTGAGGCTGAGCTGAAACCTAAACCTCTGACTCTCAGCACAGTGGTTTGAGCTCGGCTACGCCCTCTCTGAGTCACTGTGTGCCATGCATTTGACTGCCCTGAGCCCTGAGCAGATGACAGTGATATTGACCTCTCGGGATCATCAGAGTATATATGGTATTTGTAAAACATTTAACAGGGGCCTGACTAGTGTGGCTCAGTGGGTTGGGTGTCATCCTGCAAACAGAGGGGATTCATCAGTTGGATACCTGGTTAGGGCACATGCCTGGGTTTTGGGCCTGGTCCCCAGTTGGGGGCATGAGAGAGGCAATCAATCGATGTTTGTCTCCTTCTCTCCCTCTCTCCCCTCCCCTTTCCCTAGAAATGGATAAGTAAAATCTTAAAAAAAAAAAAAAAAAACCATTTAGCAGGATGCCTTGCACAGGTCTACATACAAGAAACAGCTATGATTGTGACTCTTCCACAAGGTTGTAAATGCCAGCGTTCACAGGGGCCCAGCCCAGCGGGCACTATTAGTGAGCAGAATAGCCTGGGAATGATGAGGACGAGGGCAGCAGGATAGCTGGGCCCCTCTAAAGCCTACAGCTGCTGTTCTGCTGATGGTCTGTCATGCAGGGCTGACACTGCTAGGGTCATCTAACATGCTCAGTACAGTGGTTAAATATTTAAAATTTTATCCTAGGTTGGGGATCTGGGTTGCCCCAGTCACTCGGTTTTCCCAAAGAAGCTGGGAATATTAAATGCATGAATTTTAAGATTTTCCAACTCCTGCTCCCTTCATTCTGAGGAAATAGTGGGAAGTAGGGGGTTCAGACCTGTCCACGCCCTAAGCTTTGGGGGAGATCTTTGAAGGCCACAGCTCCCCCTGACCTTGCCCTCTTGCCAACAGTCATGACTTGTGCCGACCCTGGTGAGATCACCAATGGCCACCGTACCACCTCGGATGCTGGCTTCCCTGTTGGCTCCCATGTCCAGTACCGCTGTCTGTCGGGGTACAGCCTGGAGGGGGCAGCCGTACTCACCTGCTACAGCCGGGACACAGGCACACCCAAGTGGAGCGACCGAGTCCCCAAGTGCGCCTGTGAGACTGGGGACACCTGGGAAGGATGGCTGGGTGGCCTGCTTAGCAGCACAGCTGGCGTGTGACTGACATGTTCCCTATAGTGAAGTACGAGCCGTGCCTGAACCCCGGGGTGCCGGAGAATGGCTATCAGACCCTGTACAAGCATCACTACCAGGCGGGCGAGTCTCTGCGCTTCTTCTGCTATGAGGGCTTTGAGCTCATCGGCGAGGTCACCATCACCTGTATTCCCGGCCACCCCTCACAGTGGACCAGCCAACCCCCACTCTGCAAAGGTGCCTGGGCAGACAGGGCTGGAGGGGTCAGTCCTAGCAGCGATCGGGGAGTGACAGGGCTGAGAAAGTCAGGTAGCGAATTTGAATCCGATGGTAACCCTGCGGAGCTCCCCATTCACCTCCTGTGGGCTTTTGTTCTCATGTGTACATCCAGAAGTGCTGGGCAAGTTCAAGGTCATAAATCTATACTAGGGGATGTAGTAGAAGGGCCTTTGGTTTAGAAGTCTCTTACTTCTGGACAGGTCTCAGTTTCCATGTTTTTGAAAACGCTGCAGACCTGGTGGTTTAGACTGCCCAAAGCAAGGAACAAGGGGAGGAAGAAGGCCCTGCTCTGACTCCTCCTCCCCACCTCCGCCAAGAGAAAGAGAAAGTTTAGGTTGAGCAGAAGGCAGAGAGAATCAGGCCGTCCAGCCCTGCCCCACTGGGCTCCTGGCCCTCGACCCAGCCTCCTTCCCTCCCTGGCTCAGACCCCGTCCCCTCCCCCTCCTCTCCCTGCAGTGGCCTATGAGGAGCTTCAGGACAACCGAAAACTGGAAGGTCAGTGAGGGCACAGGTGGAGACCCAGGCCTGGATGAGTCGGGAGGGCAAGGCAGAGGCTGGGGGCAGGAGGCCAGGCCCCGGAGGGGTAGGGCCCAGGGCAGGAGGCTGGGAGAGTCCAGGGCTCAGCTCAGCCCCAGCTCAATGGCCTCTCCTCCTCCCTTCAGTGACCCAGACCACCGACCCATCACGGCAGCTGGAGAGCGGGAACCTCGCCTTGGCCATCCTGCTGCCCCTAGGCTTGGTCATTGTCCTCGGCAGTGGCGTTTACATATACTACACCAAGTAAGTGCCAGGGAGCTGCAGCCAGGGCAGACATCCTGCCTGCCTGGTGCAGAAGCCTGGGTGAGGGGGTCTTGGGGGTTCACCTCTCTATAAGCCTCTCTATCTCCTCCACTTCCCAGGCTGCAGGGAAAATCCCTTTTCGGCTTCTCAGGCTCCCATTCCTACAGCCCCATCACTGTGGAGTCCGACTTCAGCAACCCACTGTATGAAGCTGGGGTGAGCCCTCCCCTCCCCTGGAATGCCACATCTTTCTGCTCCCTCCCAAACTCTATAACCTTCTCTCAAGGTGTCTGTCTGCCTACAAAGCCCACATCAATGAACTAAGCAAGTCAGGTGTGAACAATAGGGAGCCGTGAGGACTTTGGTTGACCAGAGAATTTGAGTCCCATCTAGTCCAGAGTGGAAACAGGCCCAATTGCCAGATTGTTCAAGACAATCCAGAAATTCAGATTTTTTTAAATGTGATTTTAACATACTGTAGGATGAACCAAACATCTATTGGCCAGATTCAGCCCCATTCCCACGCCATGGCCCCCAGCCCACTAATGTTACTTTAAAAATCCAGGGTCTTTCCCCTTCCTCGTGGCCTCTCTCGGTTTGCTGCCTCCTCCACCTTCATCCCACCCCAGCAACTGATCCCATCTCTCTGTCTCCAGGATACACGGGAGTATGAAGTGTCCATCTGAACCCCAAGACTAAGGCTGCAGGACCCAAGATGCCCCTCCCCTCCTCATTCTGGGCAGGCAGGAGTACAGGACCTGGTCTCTGGCTCCTTTCTGCCCTGCTGTGTAAATAGTCTCCCAGTCCCATGGTGGGGGGCAGGGGCTCTAACAGCCCTGGGGACCCTACAGTAAATAAACCAGCATCCTGCCACCCAAAACTTCCTCTTCTCAGTTGCCAAACAAGGGGCCTACCCCAACCTATCCTATTGGCTTTGGATCCTGGCATGGGAACTCAGCTCTCCTGAAACTCCTGGGGCCCTCCAGCCCAGGTTACCCCGTAAGGACTGCCCCTGAGAGCTCTGGTGCTCCCTCGGCCATGAAGGCTCTGCCCTTCCCAGATGCTCTGGCTCCAGCCTGACCCCTGGGCCTTGGAGGGTCGGAAGAAGGATGAAGGGGAGAGCTGGGACAAGAAGGCCCCTGTCCCCTTCCTGCTGTCTCCCCAACTCACAATCTCTCTCCACCTCTGCTTCTGGATTTTTGTTTTTGACCAATAAACAGAAAAATCACCATTTGTAACTGGGCTGGTGGGGTGTGGGAAGCAGGGCCGCTGAGCATTGGAGATGGTGATGGTGGCCTCTCTGGAGAGAAGGCTGGGAGGAGGGAAACAATTTGGGAAAAAAAGATGGGAATCTAAGACTAGGCTCAGGGCACTACCAAGGGGTCAAAACAGCAGGCTTTAGGTCAGCCTTTGTGGAGGGATAAGCCCCCTCTGTGCCCCAGCTGGCTCTCCACCAGGATGAGATGTCTGAAGGCTCTCCCGGCCGACAGCAGCCACCTGTCCCCACCTGTCTGATGGGACAGACAGCTGTCAGTCCGTTTCACACGGCGAATTTACCCCTTTTTGAGAATTTCGGTATACATCTAAGTACTCTCCCCCTTTTTGGCAATTAAGCATATCTGCTGTTACAGGTCTACCCAGTATTGGTCATATATTTGCAGCATTTCTTAAACAATGAGCTTGTTTCGTATCCTGTCAGCGTCTTTTTCTTCATCTAATTTTGAACACGATAAGAAGTCTATAGGCTGTTTGTCTACAGGGTCTCAAGTTAATTGAACTTTACTTACTTAAAGTTTTACATTTAAATACAGTTTAACATTTAGGTCCCTCAAAAGGAGACTAAAATACTCAAAAGGGGGTTGAATTTTAGGAGAATATAAGGCAAATTGATCTTGATAATAGTCTAAGTGTTGGGGTGTTTATGCCATGCCAGGCACTGCTATAATTTGTATGCATTGTTTTCAACCCTCACAAGGACCCTGCAAGGTAAGAACAGTTATTCTGACTCTCAGATAAGGAAACAGGCTCATAGATGTGAGCTGACTTCCTCAGAAAGCCGCAGTAGTGGCCAGACTGGGATATAAATGCAAGTCCACAAAGCCTACTGCACCGCCTTCCGTCCAGTAATGAGCGTGTTATGTCCCCATTGGCATGAAAACCTAAAGCTCAGAGGGAAGACCGCAGCACTGCTTTTGGTAGCAGGGGCTGCACCTCAGAAGCAAGGGTGGACCTGGTCAGATGCCACAGACCTAGACCTGAAGGTGCTAAAGTTTGGCTAGGAGGCTGGGTCAGGACCCATGAGCTCACCTCTGCCAGCAGGCTGATAGATGATACCCTGAATTAAAATCACTCCAATAATAAGACATTCCAATAATATACCCACATGTGGGGATAAAAGAAAAGGCCACTCCTCCCACATCTCCATCCCAGAAAAGTCACACTAGAGCACTGCCTGGGTTGGAAGAAGGGAAGGATCTCTGCCTCTTTATTAAAGCCTTGGATTTCTGGTGGTGCCCTTTCCAGCTGCAAATAGAAAGGTGTCTGAGGGTTCTAGAACATTTTGGAGGCTTCAGGGAGTATGCTGCTTATGACCAGGAGTTCCCCAGCCCCTCCACAAAATGGAAGTGATTAATGCGCTGTGAAAGAGGAGCTTTGGGGCATGTTCTACAGGGACAGAATGGGGAGGGCACGAGACAGCAAGGGCAGCACTAGAGAGCGTTGGGATCATCCTCCAGATGTCAAGCTGCTAGGCATGGCTCCCTAGAAAAGAAAAAGAGTCCTTGACTCTAGACCCAAGACTCATGTATTTTTTTTTATCCTTCCATTCTTTTTTAAGATTTTATTTATTTTTAGAAAGCAGGGAAGGGAGGAAGAGAGGGAGACATTAATGTGTTGTCACCTCTCGCTCGCCCCCTACTGGGGACCTGGCCTGCAGCCAGGGCCTGTGCCTGGACTGAGAATTGCAGGCCAGCACTCAATCCACTGAGCCACACTAGCCAGGACTATCCTTCCATTAATCTATCCATCCAACCCTTATCCCCCACCCATCTATCTATGCACCCACTGTTCTGCTTCCATTCATCCATCTATTCATCCACACATCTACCCATCATTCCCCATCCATCTTTCCACTCATTTGTCTGCCCATCTATTCCCCTATTCCCATTCATCCCCCACCCATCCATTCATTTCTCTGCCATCTAATCCCTCACCTGCCATCTGAACTTCTTAAAGTCAGGGACTCTATACGGCTCACTTCTATACTCCAGGTCCTAGAGCAGTGCTGGCACACAGGGCTTATTAAATGTTCAATGAATTTATCTCTCCATTTGCCCATCTACTTACCCTCCCCAGTCTATTCATCCGTTTCCCCACCCAACATTTTGACCTACGATGCCCTACAATTCAAGGGGCGATTCAAAGATCTGTAAGCTTCCATGTTCTTTCTCGAGGATGAGGAAGGCAAAAGTCTCTTGGAACCCCTGGGGGCTGGCAGGTGGATGAAGGGGCCTCAGCGCAGGACAAAATCCTCAATTAACACCATCGGGAAGGAGAGGTAAACCACTCTATGAGCAGGTAGGGCTCTCACAGGGCATTTTGTCCACGGCTTCCCTTTGACATACGGGGAAAGGAGAAGCAAGGAGTACTGTAGGAGGACAGCTGTCAGGTGAACAGCAAAGTAGCTGTTCTGGCCCAGGGCATTTTTGCTACTTCAAGCTGTTTTCAACACCAAAGCCCAGTTGGGAAAGATCAAATGTCCCAAAGGCACTAGAAAGTCAGTTTCTTTAGAACAGGAACAGTGGCTTGCTGTCAGCTGTATTTGCCTCTGGTCTTGGTCGCAAACATTGGAAGCAGCTGCCCCTGTCAGAGATGGTACTACCCCCGTGGTCTGTGGGACCTGGGATAGACACTCAACAAGCATTTTTTGACAATTCCTTTTCTCCCTTCTTCATGAACCTTGCTCTCTTCTGCCAAGCCCTTTAAAGGAAAGGATCGCTACACCTCCATCCTCAGCACCCTCTTCCTTCTCTGCACACCCCCCACCCTGCCCCGGGCAACTGCACACCCTTCAAATGCCACCTCCCTTCTAGATCAGATCTTCGCACCAGCTCAGACTGCTCCATTGAGTTTGAAGCTGTATTTCAAACTGTCTAAAGAGTATTTCCACATGGAATTTCTACAGGTACATTAAACCCAGTCTGTCCAAAGGTGGGAGGATACCCCCTGCCATGCTCCATGAAGAATGAGCAGGCTGGCAGGACTGAAAGTGGTGTGAACTGGGGGAGCAATTCCAGACAATGAGGTTGGAGAGACAGTGGGTCGGGGGGGGACAGGAATCGCATACGGCCTTGGAAGCCACTGAAGGACACTGGCTTTTACTCAAAATGGAATCACTGTAGAGTTCTAAGCAGAGTTCTCACCAGACTTAGGGTGACCCAAATCAGAACCAGGCAATCACTGATTCCTGCACTTTTTTCCCCCTAACACTTCTAATTAATTACCAAACTGAATTTTCCTGTTTTTCTTTTCAAATTACAGTTGACATTTGATATTATTTTATATTAGTTTCAGGCATTCATAGTGGTTAGATAGTTATATAATTTACGAAGTGATCTCCCTGGTAAGTCTAGTACCCACCTGGCACCATACACACTTATTACAGTATTACTGGCTGTATTCTTAATGCTGTATTTTATTTATATCCCCATAACTATTTTGGGACTACCATTTTGTACCTCTTAATCCCTTTCCCTTTTTCACCCAGCCCCACAACTCCCCTCCCTTCTGACAACCCTCAGTTTGTTCTCTGTATCTGTGAATCTTCTTCTGTTTTGTTTGTTTTCAATCCTCACCCAAGGATATGTTTCTTGATTTTAAAAATTTTATTTATTTATTTTTAGAGAGAGGGGAAGGGAGAGAGAAATAGAGGAAGAGAAACATTTTGAGAGAAACATTGACTGGTTGCCTCTCACAACCCCCCCCCCACCCAAAGTGGGGACCTGGCCCGCAACCCAAGCATGTGCCCTGGCTGGGAATCAAACCAGTGACCTTTTGCTTCACAGCTGGTGTTCAATCCACTAAGCCACACCAGCCAGGGCATATTCCAACCTCTCTTGTTCAAAACTCTTCATTGACTCTTCAGCTAGAAAAACATCTATGAATCTTAAGAAGGCATTCATAGGGACTTTACTTTAGTCCCCGCTACCTTGCCTGCGTACTCCGGCAGTTAAACTACTCTGGGCTCATCTTCTCCCTGCCCGAAGAACATACACACACTCTGAACACTCATTCTACTGACACTCACCTCTGTGCCTTTGCTCACACAAGCCCTGCCACTTGGAACACCCCTACTAACTCATTTTTTTTTCCTGGAAAATTATCTCTGTAGACGTCACCTCCTTCAGGAATCTCCATGATTCTTTTGTTTCTGTCCCAGCTGAGGCTGGGACAAGTGCTCTTCGTGCTGTTCCATTTCCATCATGGGCACTCACCCACAGTTCACTGTAACTGGCCATACATGACCGGCCCCACACTAAACTGAGAATTCTACAAGAGCAACAACTGTATCATTCCCTTCTGTGTCCTAATTCCTAAAACAGGGACTCGAGTATCATGCAAACTACATGTTTGGTTAATACTGAATGACCTTGTCATCCAGGAAACCTGGACATACCTTGTCATGAGGGGAGGGCAGGAGGTATGCCTTGGTGCAGGCATGGTTTCTGTCAGAGCTACAGATGGCAGAAGGAAAGAATAGGGTCAGAGCAGAACTCTGACCCTGAGTTTAAGGGTCAGAGAAGAAGAGAATAGGACTACTATGGCTATAAATCCCCCTACCCTGCTGAAATGTTGTCAAACCCTCCCTCTCTCCCCTTACAGCTCCCCATCTTTCTCCTAGGACAAAGGGCATCTCCCTTGAAGCCTCACTCACCAGGTGTCAGTGCCTCGGGTCTTGGTGAAGATCACTGAAAGTAGAGGCCCCAGATACATAAATGACTATCGTCTAATTACATGGCCAAAAGCAGATGCAGCTAGGGAGGAAGGGGCTGAAGTGACCCCCTATGTCAGTGAGGAGTGGGCCCTGGATTAGCAGGTGTGGGGTTCTGGTTAAGAGATGGGGGAGATGGGCACAGATTCCGGGAGAAGTCAGCTGCGGTTGGGAGGGGGTCAGGAGCTTGAGCTAAAGGTATGGGAGAGTCCCTGGACACAGTGGTGCTGAAGTGGGGGAGAATCACCGTGTTTGGACATCTGAGTTCCTCTGTCTTGTGTCTGCTTTTCCTTGGCTGGCACAGGGTTCTTGTAGAAACCAGCAATAAACAAGGCCTCATCGGTGAGTTCTGCACTGATCTGGGTCAGAAAGTCCTCAGAGTGGGATAATGAAGCCTTCTGATAAAGGAAAAGTCAGAAGGGCTCAGCCTGGGAGCTCCTACGTGGGAGTACTAGGTCTAGGAGCTTGCGGGCTGCTGGATATGGGTCTAAGAAGTCTGGTATTAAAGGGCTGGGCCTTGAGATTTGGCCTATAAGGCACTGTAAGTGGGGAGCAAGCCTTTGGGGGCCTCAGGGCCTAGTGCTGAGGGCTATGGGCTAGCGGGGGCGGTCCCAGTGCCCTCAACCTAGGAGCTGTCTACTTCAGTTTGCCTCCACCTTTAGCACTCCCCTTCAATGCTCACCGAACCTCCACCCAAGAATGTTGTAGCTTGGGACAGCTGGCTGCCCTTTTTCTCCTTGCTCCTGGTATGAGTGGATTCCATCCCCCTGGGAACAGTTGGAACCTTTGTTAGGTTGCGAAACCAGCCTGCTTTCCCCAAACCCTTCTTAACATCATTCCCCAGGCCTAGATTTAAACGAGGGATCTAGATAAACCATCTTGTCTCAGTTCTCTCGGGGCGGGGGGGGGGGGGGGGGGGGGGGGACTGGGGGCGGGGAATCGTTGCCTTAAATATTCCTGGGATGAGGAGGGCTGGCAAGTTCTACAACAATCCCCTCCCCCGACACGCCCAGGAGGCCTCTGTTTCCTTCCCACCCAAAGAAAGCCCTTCCCAAGACTAGGCAGCCGATTTGCCACCCCCAACCTGGCAGATGGGTTGAAATCTTGGGCTACTCAGCAGGCGGGGAGGCGGGGAGGTCTAGGGGTAGACAGGGAGCTGGAGCTGGGGAGGAAGGTAAGGAAAGAGGGGCAACCCGGGCGGTGTCTCTACCCGTTGCTATAAAAACCCTTGTTTGCGAGGATTCCGCAGTCCCGTAGCCAGGAGATTAGGGATTCTAGAACTATAGGCCGGGAGTGGGCGAGGGGGGAGGGGAGCATTTTCCTAGCAAGTCGCACTCGCTCCTTGGGCTTTTCCTCCACCCCAGCTTGACCGCTGTGATTGCAGCGCCCGAGGCTGGAGAAATTTGGGAACATAACTTAGGGTGGAGCCTGGGACCTAATTCTTCTACCACTAGGGGCAAGCAAGTAACAGCCTCGCCCTAGGCCGACCTTCGGCCTCTCTAGCCATCAACTCATAGTCTGGGCCTGCTAGAGGCAATGAGGCCGGAAAGAGGCGGGGCGGGGAAGAAAGCAATATGGACTGTACTAAATACCCTTGCCTCGGGCACAGAAAGACTAAGGAGGACGGAACCTTTTCTTCTTATATTTGTCTGCAGGGAGTCACACCCTCCTCGGAAAGCAAAGGAAAGTAGGAGGTCTATATTTTTCTAGACCTCCTACTCTTTGGACCTCTCCTTCCTTTGCTCGGTGTCGACACTTTATCCCCTCTCCTCCCTCGGTACTTTGGTACGAGCCATTGCGAGGGGACGAAGGGAGGAAAAGGAAAAGGAAGCGAGCAGGTCTTAAAGGGACCACAGCCATTTTTAAAAAGCCTCTTTTTCCTTTCTCCAGATTTAGAAGTATGAGCGCAGAAGAGTAGGCTCTCGGAAGCTGAGCACAACTGGATCAGGAGGGACCACTGCTGGAGGCTGCAGCGCCTCCGGGGCGGGCGGAAACGAGGGTCTTCCCATAGGAAGGGCTGGGTGTACGAGCCTCCTGTGCCCCGCGCACATCGGGGGCTGCTTATGAGCATCAGGGCCAGCAGTGAGCTTTAACATCTGGGGCCGGCCAGGGGCTGCGGGGTCTTGAGCGCAGTCGGTGGGGCCGGTGTGCCGGGCCGGAGTGTGACGCGGCGCGGCGGGGCTGAGACCGAGCTGGCACTTCCGGATCCGACCGGGGACAGTAAGGGCACCGCCGCGATGGCAAGCGAAAATATCTTCCTGTTTGTGCCTAACCTAATTGGTGAGTGCTGCCCTCGGCTCCGGGCTGAATGGCTGAGAGAGGGGCCTTGGGCAAGCTCCCTGATCCCGCCCTGTCTGCCCTGTCCCATCCTAAGGTTATGCCCGGATTGTCTTCGCCATCATTTCTTTCTACTTCATGCCCTGCTGCCCTCTCACGGCCTCCTCTTTCTACCTGCTGAGCGGACTTCTGGACGCTTTCGATGGACACGCTGCTCGAATCCTTAATCAAGGTGACAGACAACTCCTCCCAGCCAACCTTGAGGCACAACAACCCACTGCCCCCTTTCCTGCCTCCTCAGGACCTAAGGGTGGGCAGGTGCTCGGGAATCAGGGCTCTGTCATCCCCATCTCTATAAAGCAGAACTGAGAAGTCCCTTTTTACAGCAAAGGGATTTAAGCTAGTTGTTGAGAACTCACAAGACTGGACATGGCAGTGGCAGTGCTGGACTTTTCTGAATTATTATTCATTCAGTAGGTGTTTACTGGTTGTCTGCTGTGTGCCAAGCACAGCAATCCCAACTCTAGAAGTCCTGTTTAGAGGAAGGATGGAGGGAGAAGGAAGATGGCTTCAGGAGGGTTGCATCTGTTCTCCAGACCCACCTCCAAGACTCCCCTGAGACTTCAAGTCTCCTTGCTTTGAGACCTGGACCCTTGGTTCTGCGATTGATGAGTTAGTTGTAAACTAACTCTCTCACCGCCTCTTCCACTCTCTCTTCACGCTTCCATGCCTCCTCATTTTATGTCATGGTGCCCTTGCACTGACCTCACACCCTATGGAGAGCAGTCCGTTTTCTTCCCCAGGTAGTGAGTGGTGGACATTTTCCATCTTTTAGACTTCGCATCAGAGTGATACACGAAATATTGCCCTTGTTGCAGATGCCCTGCTCCCTAACAGCCCCTTCCCAACTGATAGCCCCGTTTTTCAGGGACTCAGTTTGGGGCCATGCTGGACATGCTGACGGACCGCTGCGCCACCATGTGTCTACTGGTCAACCTGGCGCTGCTGTACCCTCGCGCCACCCTTCTCTTCCAGCTCAGCATGAGCCTGGACGTGGCCAGCCACTGGCTGCACCTCCACAGGTGTGCAGCTCTGGGGGTGTTGACCGGCTGAGAAGACGCTGCAGCAGGGAGACTGTCTGGGAGGGTGCCTGGGATGGCTTCAGGCTTCTTGAGAGGTCTCCTTTTCAGCTTGCTTTGTTGAAAGACCATGGGCACATCCTCTCTGAGTCAGCTTAAGTCCTATTTATAGTTTAATTAAGCGGTCCCTAAAACTGTTCTGACTGGATATTTGAGGGTTCCAAATAGATTAACAGCTCTTGGGAAGGGGCATGGGGGCTTTTGAATGTGGCATTGGAATCTTGGCTCTGTCCCCAACTAGATAATTGTGTGACTTTGGGCAAGACAATGGCCCTCAGCTGGGCTCTAGTTCCTCCTTGTACAATAGAGGCAGTCCCAGTATCTCCCTTGTGGAGGGTGCTGTGAGGATGTCATAGGTGTCAGTGAATGGTAATGGATGTTCACAGACTCCCCTACTTTCTCTCCAAGTTCTGTGGTCCGAGGCAATGAAAGTCATAAGACGATCGACCTGTCTGGAAATCCAGTGCTTCGCATCTACTATACCTCCAGAGTGAGCATTTCCTACCCCTCCCTTATTTACTCAGCTGGTACCAGCCAAATCCTGGGCTGTACCCTGGTCCCAGGTTAGGAGAGGGTTCGAGAACAAAGGGGAAACAATCATCCCAGGGGAGGAGAGGCCTATAAGCTGAGGTATGAAGAAGGGTGGGGTTAGTGGGAGGGCCTGTGTGAATTGCTCCAGGCAGCAAGTGGTTTTTAAAGAGAGAAGTGATATGCTGAGATTGCTCTTCACCCACCTCCCCAACTGCACTCTTACTTCCCCAGTACAGTTCCAGCTCCCCATCCGCAGAGGGTTTTGGCCCCCCGCCCCTGTGTGTCTGTGTTGGGGTGCGGGATACACATTGACCTGCCCTCTTGTTTAAGCCGTGTTTTTGCTGTTTGTGCAGCCTGCTCTGTTCACCATGTGTGCTGGAAACGAGCTCTTCTACTGCCTCCTCTACCTGTTCAGTTTCTCCGAGGGACCATTAGGTAGGAGATGAGGGACTGGGTTGGAGGGTGGAAGGGGTTCTGGCCTGCCCAGGGAAATGAAGGCCAAAGACTCGTGGGCCCCTCCCTTGCCTGTGTCCCATTTTCTCAGTGTTACTCTTGCTCCCTTCCACAGTTGGCTCTGTGGGTCTTTTCCGAATGGGGCTGTGGATCACCGCGCCTGTCGCCTTGCTCAAGTCCCTCATCAGTGTCATCCACCTGGTCACAGCGGCCCGCAACATGGCTGCCCTGGATGCAGCAGATCGTGCAAAGAAGAAGTGACCCGAGAACTTCCAGCCCCTGGCTACCCACCTGCCCCGGAGTCTCACTGTGCCACGCGGCTCCCCTCTCCCTCCTGGGAGGTCCAGGCTTGTGTCATCCTAACGTGTTATCCAACCCACTGGGAAGGGGGTCAGCCTCTTTAGTGATGTCATGTTCTCTGTAATCCTGAAGGCAAGTTCTACCCCTGGACTCCAAATCAGGAGGGATGCTCAGGACCTCCCACCCACATGGGCAGTGCTTCGGGGGCACCAGGAGGCTTGCCTGAGGACTGGGCATTTTCAGACGTGCTGGCTTGGCCTTGGGGTCTGGCTTGGCCTGAGACTTCAGGGACACTTGCATGAGGGAGATGGGATAAGGACCAAGTTTCCCGAAAGGCAGGGAATCAGACCTCTGCCTCTGGCCAGAGGAAGCCAGCGGGTCCTGTGGCTGGGAGACAAGGAGCCATCTGGATTCTTCTCCATTGCAGCGTCCTCTTTCTAATCCATCCTAGCTCTGAAAGCCTGAATAATAAAGGTAGGGGCTTCACTGTCCTGGACTTGCTTTTCTTTGAAATAGCCTTGGACCGGAGCTGGGTTGAGCTTGGGGAAGAAGGACGGTTCTCCTGGCTGCTTTTCCCTCAGTTACCCACTGGCCAGCTCCTCTTCGTCATTCCACAGAGACTGCAGAGAGAGACCCTCTCTGCTACCCAAGACGTGCCATGTCCTCTTGCCTGCCTGCTTTATTTCTTTTATGATACTGTTGCCGGCTGTCTGCATTTTTGTGTGTGCCTGGTATTCTCTACCCCTGCTGGAATGTAAACTCCGTGAGGGCACTGACTTTTCTCATTCCTTCTCTGTCTCTACAATGAAGATTAACTTTAACCTGGGATATCAAAGCTACTTCATAAATACTCACAGGTAGGTCAGTTGGCTTCTCAAGAGTGCAGTCCTTGTACTACCTGTGGGATAGGTTTTCAAAATTCGGCTGCTAGGACCTGCACCAGAGTTGGAATCTCTAGGGATGGGCCCAGAAGTCTGCAGTTTTAATAAACTCCAGGTGATTGATTCTTCTTCCCAAGAAGGTTGAAAATTACTGTCTCTCACACATTTTTTTTTTTTTTTTTTTTTGGCATCTCCCAGATGGTAGATGTTGTTCTGGACATTTGTCCCTAACAGCTACCCCTACCAGCTGAGCTTTCCCTGCCGGCTGGCACTGACTTTCTTTTTGGAACTATATTGAGCCTGCCATATGCCAGATCCTGTGCTGGGGGTTGTTGCAGATGTTATTCATTTTATTCTTAGAATAGCTTAGCCAAGAGGCCCTCATGTCCAGAAGATCTGAAATTCAGCCGGAATGTGTTGGCCGTCAATTTCTGTCCTAAGCCCAGGATCTGTGGGAACAGGCCACTGCTTCCAGTTGGCCCTTGACCCTCCCTCAGTTTTGTTGGGGACTTCCCTAACTGCACTGTCTCCCCCTGCTGGCCTGTGAGTAATAAGTGCTGTAGCACTTAGGTGCTGGTGGTAAAGGGTGTGGGCAGCTTAGGAAGCTGATGGGGAGGGATCGGGCCACAGAGTTAACCCAGAGGAAAGGCCTGATTTTCAGCTACACAAACAGGGAAGCCAGAGAGCAAGTTTAGGAGATAGAACTAACTCATTGAGATGATATCGTTGGAACACGTGCTGGGGCTTGGGGGGAATGGAGAGCTGGTGAGAGACGGTGGGGAGCCATTGGGCAGCCTGAGGAGCCCAGTATGGCATTTGGCCCATCCTGAGGGCAACATGGAGCCATTGAAGGAATCTTTCAAAGTAAGAGGCAAAATATTCACAGGGCAAAGTAGATTGAACCACACACACTACAAAAGGAAGATGAAGTTAACTACCGCCTTACGCTCTTCCCGGGCCACCACTGCTGCTCATTGCTTATGTGTCTCTGTCTGAGTTTTCACACTTACACAGATATCTTTCCATAGCTTGAAAGTTTTTTGTGCTGTTCTGCTAACAAGTTGCTGCTGTTCCAAGTGGTTTTTGCTTATTATCCCATTTACCTGACAGCTGTGCTGTACTGCATACTAAACCATACAGCGAGCCATTGACGGCCCATTTTCTAACAAGGAAAGAGGTCCTGAGGACAAGGACAGCCTGGCTGGCTTGGCTCCAAATCCTGCACTCTTAACATTGACCGCACACAGCAGTCCACATAAGTGGTCTCAATGGCAGCATAGACTTCCATCATTGATTTGTTTGACCAAGTTCTGCCACCGCGAACAGTGCCTCAGTAACTCACATGGACTCTCCTGGGGGCCCCTTGTAGGGTGAATGCCAAGTGTTAGGGCGGTGCCTGGGACACATTTATACTCGAAGATGTTAGTGATCACAAAGCTGGGCCGCCCCTCCAGCTCTATAGGTGTCCCCCTATCTTGCCTGCTCCCAGTCAAGGTGTGAGAAGACCTTCATCCTTCCCTGAGTCAACTCCTCCAACCAAATGAGTCCTCAGCACTCAAGCCCTATGTCCCTGAATGCCTCCTGGTTCTTGGGCCCTAACCATTTACAGTGATGTTAGGAGTCTGTAAATCCAGCTATCTGATCTGAGAAAGGAGAGGGAGAGTTGGCCAGGAGTGTGAGCATCTTCCACTCAAGTGGAATGTGCACCAGAAACCTGAGCGACCAGCACTGAAGACAGCTTGGTGCCTTTGGTCCCAGGTGCATCGGCTGGACTGAGCCCGGAAGGAACCTGCAGAGGATGAGCCTGGGTTTACAGCCTAGGACTAGGTGACCCTGGGACCTCCTGGAGGGAGGGGTGGGAAAGTCTGGGCTCAATGGAGGCACTGCATTTGATGGGGGGACTGCAGTGGAGTCACATCATGTATTGCTGTGGTCTGGGTGTTTGTGTGCTCACAAAATTCACGCATTGAAACCTAATGCCCGATGTAACAGTATTTAGAGGTGGGGCCTTTAGGACGTGACTAGGTTCCAGGCCATCTGAATAGGATTAATACCCCTTATAAAAGAGGCCTGAGAGCTCTCTCATCCTATGAGGACAGAGCAAGAAGGCACTGGCTATGAAGAGGAAGATGGACCCTGCCAGAGCCTGACCAAGCCGGTACCTTGGACTTCCAGCCTCCATAACTGGGAGAAATACATTTCTGTTGTTTACAAGACACCCAGTCAATCTGTGGTATTCAGTTATAGTAGTCCAGCTGGATTAGGAATTCAGCTGTGTGCGTTCAGATTGAATGAATAACCACCATGAAAGACATTCCATTGGCTCACTCCACCCAATGGGCTCTGCCTCAGTGAGGTCACCGGAGGGGCCCCAAGAATCTGCTGTTCGCTCAGATGGCCTGAGTCTCCCCCTGCCTCTCAGACTGTGATAAAAGGTACCCTAACTGCTATAACAAACTTCAAGACGTATAGGGGCTCAAACATGATAGAAGTTCATTTTTAACTTAGGATAAGCCCTAATCAGGTGCTCCTGCCTGTGAGGTAGCTCTCCTGACACGGAGATTTGAGGACAGAGGCTTCTCTCATCTTATGGTTCCACCACTTTCAAGATAACTTCTAAGGGCATTCAACTTGCTTGCATCGTGCAGGCAGGAGAGGTGTGCTGGGAGGACCGCACAAGGCTGGTTTGTATGGGAAAGCAGAGAATGGCCACCTATTGTCTCCACTCGCATCCCATGAGCTATAACTCAGAAGTATGGCCACATCTGTGTGCAAGGGAGGTTGGGAAATGGAGATGAGGAGTGGGCCTAGAAAGAAGAGAAAATAGATTTGGTAAACAATAACTTTCCGTGCTGAAAGTGATTTTCCTTTTTTTACTATGCTTGTTTAGACTTAATTTATTTTCAGAGACAGAGGGAGGGAGGGAGAAAGAGAAGGAGGGAAACATCCATCGGTTGCCTCACGTAGGCCCAAAACCGGAGACCTGGCCCACAACGCAGGCGTGTGCCCTGACTGGTAATGGAACCGCTGGCCCTTTGGTTCCCAGGCTGGCACCCAAAACACTGAGCCACACGGCCAGGGCTGATTTTCCTCTGTAAAGACAGATTTTTCTTTTACGAGCAGTCATAAACAAATTCATTACTTTATCTGGTATTCAACCAAGAAAAGTCATTTGCTCCAGTGCTGGAGGAAAATGGGCTGCGTTGAACTTCATCAGTGATCGAGCTGTTCGGCATTTTATGGGCAGTGTAAGGGACTTCCAGGATGAATCTGGCGCAGGGACTGACTTAGGATCTGTTCCACTGTGAGCTGTAACCCCGCTGTATTTCCGTCAAAGCAGCAGGATCGCCACACAGCTGTGCTGGGCCCATCTTCATGTGGTTTAAAGAGCTACTGCCCCTCTTACCTTACAGTACCTCACAACTTTGTGAGGTACATGTAGTGATCAGGATAAGCTAGGTTACGCTGCAGTAACAACCCTACCCCCCAAACCTCAGTTATGTATACAGCAAATATTTATTTCTTGCTCCTGCTGTGTGTTTACTGCGGGTGAGCTGTGCCTCTGCTTCATGTCGTTTTTCTCTCTGGGAACTAGGCTGATAGACTGGTCTATGGAATATTGCTGGTCACCACAGAAAGGGGAAAAGAGAAGACAGTGATGTCACCTCCCCTTGAATTTCATTAGCCAGAGCAAGCAAGCCATACAGCCAAGCCTGATAGCCATTAGAGACTCATTTCATGTGGGGACATCAACTCATCGATGGAAATGAGCCCAGACCTCGGGGGTGAGATCTGAGATGGAGAAATGGGTTTCGAAGTCAGTGGCATGAGACTGGCCAAGAATGTAGCAGAGGAAGGAGACGGCACCCAGGGTGACTCACAATTTAGACTGGGCAGGGGCAGTGGAGCTGGCCCTGGAAACTGAGGAGCAGCTGGTGAGGTGGAAAAGAGTGGGGTAGGCTGTCACAGGAACCCAGTGTGGAAAAGGGGTGGACACTGTGCCACATGATGGGAGAGGCTGAACAAGGAGAGCCTGACTACTGGGTCTAGGGACAGGGATGTCACTGGTGATGCTGATTTGAGCAGTTCCCGTGAAGCATGGTGTGGAGACAAAAGCTAATAGGAGTGGCTTGAGGAGATAATGAGAAGTGAGGAATGGAAACAGAAATGTGGCTGTGAAGGAAAAATAAAGGAGGAGTAGCAACTGGAGGAAACGTGGGGCTAAGGGAGAGTTTACTTGTTGGTTCTGTACAGGAGAGAATGGAACATGTTTTCCTGCTGGTGACAACGATCCAGGAGAGGAGGCTTTAACTGGCGGTGCAGGAGAGAAAGGTGAGAGAGATGCAGACGCGGACTCAGGACTTGAGACGAGTGGCACCCAGAGCCCAGGGGAGGAACCGGGCTCCTCGGGAGTAGGAGGGGGACAGAGAGTCCGGGTGCGGTAGGTAGTCTGTTAGATTTGCTGCGGAGGACGGCCCTGCCCAACTGCCCAAATTACTTCTGTTTTCTCAAAGAAGTGAGAGAAAGTGGGCAGGGGTGCGGAGGGGTGAAAGGAGAGGCGGTGTGAAGAGCGGTTCTGAAGCGGACCTCCTGCAAGCTAGAGAGGTGTA